TAAGGCATTTGATATAGGCCTTCATTTTTGAGCCTAAGGCCCTATGAGAAGATGAATGGAAACAATGTCGCTATCAGTAGTGATCAACTTCAAACACCATGATGTTGACTGGATATATCATCCAACTGTTTCCAAATCCTCTGCACTGTCCTCAGATTGACATCCAAACACTCTGAAATGTTCATATTAGAGCTTCCAGTATGAATGCCAAGCAATACAGCATAATATTTCCTAATTTCTGGCAGAGTGAATTGCATCATGGTGCCCTTTTTCTTACAGATAGTACTCAACTGACCCTACTGTGCAGTTGAAAGAAATCAAAAACAATATGCATGCATGAAATTAAAAATATAAACTGGCAATAATTTACCCATTGCACCCTGTAGTATACATAACAATGTCTACAACAAGCAAACAATTGATTTACCACATTACCTGACCTCCAAGGTTCCTGTGAGAGCTGCGGCTTTAGTGAAATTTGTATTAAGCAAGAGACTAGTTTGTTTATCTCTTGGTGCACTCTGTGGTTTACATGCCTCCAGTTCAGCTTTCAAGAGTTGTACACGAGCAGAATGGAGCTCCATCTCATCTAGACGCTTGTTTAATGATATTTCCAGGAGTTCCAACTTTTGATTAGATTCAAGTAAACTTTGTTGAGCCTGCCATGAGATAAAAATAAAATTTTTAGAATTCACTTGGCAATTTAATGAATCATTTAAAACATTTTTAAAAGCCCTTATAATTGATAAAATATCTCCTAAAAGCACAAAATTTGCATGGATAAATCCAATTTTTAAAATAGAGGTGTGCTTTTTTTGGTTTATTTTACTTGATCATGATATATTCATAACTATTTTTCAGAAATAGTTATTACGGTATTTACATTAGTCGGACTATTGTCCTCGTCTTTGTCGCCATATTTATCACGTTTCTGCTGTTATACGCTCTGGCCTTCTTCAGGTGGTTGAAATTTCGAACTGAACCCTTTATTTCAATCACTGGGGTAGACTTTTGTAGTTCCACGTGCCATGTTTGATGGATGTCAGTTATCAGTTATCTCCTGCTAATTTTCCCTCTGAAAGTTCTCCACTGCCTTAACCGGGTATTGAACTCACATTCTTTGGGTCTGTCACTGGATCTAACCAACGCCTTTATCACTGTGCCATGTGTCCTTGAGGACATCTGGGTATGAACTTCTGGGTATTATAAACCTAATGTTTTCAGCAATCATTTTTTACCAGTGCTCATATTGCAATTTTGCTGTTATCATTGCTTGTTTTTACCAGAGTTCATATTGCAACTTTGTTATCATTGCTTTTCTCTGGCACTCCTTATTACTGGTTCCCATATTGTATTTATTTCTATGCTTGGTCGGCTCAGATTTTTGTGGCCTAGCATATGTGCTGATTCCTTAAGTTTTCGAATTTTGCCAATGGTGTTCCCTATCTAAGATCTCCCTTCTCTCTCCATATGTGGTCAGCCACGCCTGATTTTTCTACTTCCCCTCGCGTTACAGCTTTCTGGTGTTCTTGAAGCCTTACCTTGAGGGGGTGGCCTGTCTCTCATTTATATTCCTTTCCGCAGCTGCACGGGATAGCGTACACACAGTCTTTAGTCATGTTCTCCTCTGTGGGGGGGGTCTTACTCGAGAGAGATATCTGTGAAGTGTTGTCACGCTTTTGAAGGTTGTCCTGAGGTTATATGGACCGCAGATCCTTTGCATTTTCTCTGATAACCCCTTCACATAAGGCAGGCAGACTGTTTTCTGAGTGTTGTTGTCCTCCTCCTCCTCTTGTACCTGCCTATCCCAGTTTATGGGGGCTGCTGCCATGTACCCAGGGTAGTTGTTACATTGTAGGGTACTACTTATACTGACCAATTCCTTATCTAACGTCTCTGGGTCGCCACTTATGACTTTTGCTCGGTGCTGTAAGCAACGAACGATCCCTTTCTTTATGCTGTATGAATGGTGAGAGTTTCAGAGGGAAAATTAGCAGGAGATAACTGATAACTGACATCCATCAAACATGGCACGTGGAACTACAACAGTCTACTCCAGTGATCGAAATAAAGGGTTCAGTTCGAAATTCCAACCACCTGAAGAAGGCAGGAGTGTACAACAGCTGAAACATTGTGACAAATATGGCGACAAAGTCCGACTAATGTAAATACTGTACATAATACCTCATCTCAGAAATATAGACAGACTCCAAATAGTTATTAGAACAAAACTCCATGGTAACCATGAATATGACATATGGAGAAGAGTGTAATGAGTTTTATTAAATGACCCCTCCCTCCTCAAAACTAAACAAAAAAAATTATGCATTCCCCACCCTCTTACTCACTTCTTGTAAAGCTTTCTTGTCCTGAGTTTTTCCATTCTGCAGCAGTTTTATGGCATTTTTAGCACCATCCATCACAGCAGCCTCAATTTTCATGTGATGCCGCAATTCTTCAATTCGCAGTTCTCGTGGTGAAAGCACCTCAGTCTGCTGACCTGTAAAGATTGAGAAAAAAAAACAAAAAAAAAAAAAACACAATTAGTCAAACCTTTTCTCTTACATAAATTAAATTTGATATAATTTGTACCCATATTTTAATTGAATGGAGAACAAGAGAAATTGGTATTATTTACAAGTATTTTCAGACAAAATTTCTTTACATTCATTTAAAAAAAAAAAAAAAAAAAAATATAAAGAAACTGACAAAACCAAATTTACTAAATATTTAGTTATTTTTTTAAAAAGGAAATAATGCATAATATTAATGAGCCACTTTTTCTTGTTTAAATACTTGTCAATTCCATTCAATTTCCTCTCAAAATTATGTTTATTATTTTGATTTACAGAAGAAATTTTTGGCCATGGCACTCAATAAAATAACTCGACCTTATCCAAAGAAAAATTAATTTCACAAATGATTCTCAATCATATATATATATATATATATATATATATATATATATATGAATGATTGAAAAACAGTAGGAATTTAACACTATTGATTTGTGGAGATTATTCTTTTATATCGCTAAATAGAAACAAGATTTGAAAGGCAACAAGTTATAATGTACATACATTTACTACCAAATAAAATTTGCAAAAGTATACCTATATTAGTAATGAGTGAAACCAACATGTCTACCCAGTAAATTTAAACTGAACAAAAACAGCAGAAGTCAATTGTAGAATATGTAAAACATTTACTGAAGGTGATGTTAGTGATGATACTGATTACTTTTCAACTGGAAATGATTAACTTGAAAATATACTTCATAAAAGGACAGCTGGCAAGTATTAATGATGACAAACTTGGGCGGAATCTAATCTACTTTAAAATGTGTCAAATGATTGCTTTAAGTTTTAACACAAGCAATAAAATTGTACATCTGCAACTGTATTGCATTAGGAAAGACATTTGGTGAAACTCAATAAAAACAAACTTTTTTAAGGCTAAGGATTACAAAAAAAAAAAAACCCTAGCACATGTGTGCAACCTAGATTTTTCAAACCTTAAAGAATTTTGAACACAGCACAAATCTTTAATACCTGAAGCTATAAACGGTTTCAACTGAAGAGTGGAGATAAAAGCTTAAGAAAAACAGGGTCAAAATTCTAACATTACAGATCTAAAGAATGTCACAGATGATACCAGGTTCAAAAGAACAAAGATGGGGATATAAGCATTACTGAATAATGGCATATTTAGTTTTAAATAAAAGGTATGTGCATGAGTATACAAGAAAAGCCAGCAATTCTGTCTGTTGAGAGAAAATGTTTATCTTGAAAATAACTGAAAAACAAAATCCCTCAAATTTGAAACATTTTCAGCCTAAATATTTGCAGTATAATGATATCCTAAATATACTTAATCTATCAAATAAGTAAAAAAATTAAATTTAATTAAGTGATATGTAAATCATTAACAACATAAGCAACCATTTTGAATACTGTATTTGTGAAGATTGTGTAACTGAACTGAAGGTGAAATTTGTGATCGAGTTTAAATTCCAGTCTAGACTTTCATTCACTTTGGATAAAAGCATGACTCAGTCTTGTCTCCATCCAGCTTTAAGTTAAATAAGAGGGTAGACAAGGTTCTCTAGGTTTGAGTGACAATCATTTTAAGAAAAGTGAAACTGAATTCCAAACTGAAACTACTTCACTATTTTTCCTAGAAATTTGTACATTATAAAAAAAACAGAATCAATGATCACTTATGCCCTAAAGAGTTATGGTATCAGGAAGAATAAAATAAAAGATTTGCATGCAATATGAACCCCTAAGTTTGAGCTGCAACATTCTAGAAGGGAAAAATCTTTTGTAGCAGGTAAATGTAGGCTAAATTTAAAATTTTTTCAATTTTGTATCACATTTTGAAACAATTTACACCGTATCTAGAAATGTTCACACAAAAATTGCCAAAAGTTCTTGTATAATAACCACTGACATTTTAAAATTAGTAGCAACCAAATTTAATATTTGTTCAACTTTTTATCCAGTACATTAACTAAAAATAAGTCATATTTTTATTTTCAAAACATAGTATTTACAGCAGATATGAGCTAACACTAAGAGAAACAAAATTATAAACAAACATATTACAGTGACTAGTGGCATAAAGTAGAAAGACATTAATACTATGTCCATGCACAGCATATAAAACAACACAAAAATTTCTATCATTTATTGGTCACTAGCAGTCAGCCATATATCTGCTTACAGATTCCCTTGCTAAACTCAGTCAGGTGTTGTTTATTGCAAGCCAAATTCACCATGTATGCATGAGTGTCTTATTTTTATCCATGATGTCTAAATGATCATCTAACACAATCAGAGTAAAATTGAAGGTCATCTTATATACAGAGGAAAACAAGAACCAGACAGCTGGTTGTCTTGGGAGCAATATTTGACTGGCACACACACACAAAAAGTCCAAGTTTCAACTCATAAAGTCAGAGACAACAGAGGAAAATCATCAGCATTTCTGAAGTCAAAAAAAGAGCTGATGGAGTGTGTGAAAACACAGAATGGCCAGCATTGGAATTAGCACAACTTACATGTCTTGAGGCAAATCACAAAGATCAGAACAATGCCTAACATCTTTATAGTCATTGTTGGGATGTGTTAATGCTTTATAGAAAGACACGTTATCAATTTATTGCTAAACTTATATAGAACAGAAATTGCCTGTAGATTTTGAAGACAACTCACTGGAACTTCAGCATTTCAGGATCAAATGATTGAACAACATGGGGAAGAAAGACAAGATGGCTGTGAATGATAGCAACATCAAAGAGAATGTAGACATTTACTTGGTTGATAACATAGATGAAACAGACACATCAACCTTTAATGTGAACAGCAATAAAACAAACTAAAATATGCTTAATATATATGGAAATAAGTTAAAAAAAAAAAAAAAAAAGAATGGTTTGGTTAGTGATTTAAACATTGTTAGCTAGATTTGACCATAGATATAACTCTCATACTATCCTAAATATGACCATTGCACATGGACAGATCAAAAGTTAATATTTAGGTTTCATGTCTATGACAAAATCCCTTGAACTTTTAGGCTTACAAATTGGGAGAAAATACATATTGTATAGAAATAATTAAAGTATTTTGATAACTAGTTGTGTGACCTTGATTTAAATTAATGAACTTTACTGTTGATACATGAACAGACAATTTTACATGAGGTTGCCCAATCAACAGTATGATGTTATCGAGTACATGGGATGTGGAGCCATCACAAGAATAACAAGATTTAGGTCTATTAGTCTCGCCTGTACAGATTTGTTTCTCCAATCTGGCAAAACTAAAAACAAATTAAAGAAAGTGTTTAAAAAAATCATTTAAAAGGAGGCAATGACAAAGCAGTTGATGGTGATTCTGAAAGAGGACTTTGCAGATAATTTTAAAACATTGAAAGGATACTGGGATAAATGTATAAAGTGATAAGGCAAATATTTTCAAGGTGACTAAGGTACCATTGCTCTAGGTAAACTTTCTCCACCCCATTAATATTAAATGGATGGACATCAGAATTTATTTTGGTAAGGCTTCTTGGTCTGGCTGAGAACTTTTCAGCATCCTCTCATTAATTTCATATGTAAAAATTTTTTTTTTTGTAAGAGAGCAAATATTTTTTTAAAAATGTGAAGGTTAGGGTTTTAATACTTAAAATAATAAGTAATGATTTCTTGAAAAATGGAAACAAAAGATGAACAAAATATAAAGAACTTTTAAAATGTCAGCTGTTAGTTAAAAATCCATCCAAACTTTCATATTGTATTTAAACTAACAGGAAACAAGACTGATCTTTTATACATCAATGAAATCTGCAGATAACAAAAATACAGACAAATGTGACATGGCTGAGTCAAAATACAAACAATGAAATTAGAATAAAATCTTATCAAAAATCCCAATATAATTATGTTAATAAATTTTTTGAAGTTATTTGTGTCAAGGTTGAGAGGTTATTTTTGTTGAAAGTCAATGGAGAGTTGGGGGGGGGAGAAGAAATTGTCTTAGTTGTCACTAGGCAGTGGCAAAAAATTTGTTCAGTGTGCTGAGAAGGAAAAGTAGTAAAGCTAAGGTCATTTAATAAAGTTCAGGAAATGGGGTGAAGTGACCAAACCACCATAGGGAGTAGGTACACAGGGAAAGAGCAAGGAACTCTTAATTGTGCCTGAAATGATCTCAAATAGCAGGAAGTGGAAGGCACCACCAATAGTTTCAGGAGTTTGATTGTAAAGATCACAAAATAATTATTCACTTCAAGCTACACACACTAACAATTTCAAGTAGCCAAAAAGATGCCTCTCACACACACACACAAGCTATCAAATAACAAGAAAAAAAGTCACCAAAAGGAGGACAGAATAGAAAATATAGCTCAGTGATAAAGTATTTAAATACACCCTACAAAAGTTTTGTGAAATGCTGCTAAGAGCCTAAAATTAAAATAAAAACTTGATATAATAAAAGAAAGAATGAAAAACAGTCTTTAATTTTGCTCTTGTAAAATCTACCAAGACCCAGGATAAGCTAAATAAATATTAAATTAAATGTTAAAAAACAATAAGTTTACATACTGTATATGTGAGGTTACTTTTACTCTTATTACTTAACCCCATAGACATGTATATACACTTTTTCCAAAAGTGTCTTTTTCAGGCACTGACAAATAAACATGTCCAAAACATAATGCTCAAAAACACCTACAGATATGTTTATATGCCAATTTTGATTCTTTTTATGCACTTCTGAGCTTGAAATGAGTCCAATTGTCAACTCATATGTCTGGTAGAAGTGTTAGCCACCACTCAGGTACTTCAAGGTGTCCCAGTTTCTTACTTACTATATTAAAAACAAATAAAAAAAAAAACTTGTCTGAAAATGAAAAATTTTTCCAAAATAATTGGCAGGGAAGGGGTTAAGTAATAGTTCCAAGGCCAGGATAATAATAATAATAATCTTGGAGTTA